TACATTCTAAATTTTAGAACTCATATTATTTCATCCACGTATTGTAAGCAAAAACCATATCATATTATATAGACTTCAGTCCGATCAAGAGCCCAAGAATAATGTAGAATCCAACTCCTATAATTCCGACAAAATTGCAAAAAAAAAAAAAAAAGATTACACATCATATTATAATTCAAAACAAAAAATGGAAGGTAAAATAAAACTGAATTTTTCAACTTATGTAAATGTTACACAGAACATTTTAGGACTTAATTCTGTTAGTGCCAATATCAATATTATTATAAAAGTTTGTACAAAATTTTTTGTAAAGCCAGTGTGGAATCGCGCTTCGCCCCCACACCGTGTGTGCGTGTTTGTCTATATATACATGATATCCGCCTTCGACAACTGCATCTTACCCTTGTCCCGCCTACTACTGTTCCCCGGCCTCGGCTCCGGTTGTCCCTTCTTTATAAAACAACAGAAGCATAAAAAAAGATGTTAACAAAATACGTACTAAATATTTTTACTGTGTTTTCGGCTACATTTTTTAAAGGAAAAATGTTTGGTTACTGTCTATAAGAGCGAAACAAGTGTTAAAAAAAAACAAAAGCAGGCTACCAAACGGAGCTTTAAAGACGACACATACCTTCTTCAAGACATACGAGAGATATAAGTAGGCGGCATCCCATTCATCCGGCGAGAGGGTACCTTTGTCAAGGGGAGGGTGAAATGTAAAGACATTATTACGCGCGAAAATGTTTTTTTAAAGGTTTAATGGAAAAGCATTTGAATTGGAATTTTGTTATAGGGCGGGCATACTTAGGTCTTGGTTTCCATCACCCAATGCGCCAAGCCTGCGCATGAGGTCGACAAACTCCATCCTTTTCATATATTCATCGACAAATGCATGCGAATTCTTCGCAAATACTAGCTCCAAATCATACTGCACTTCCACATTGTTGTTATGAGGCAAAGCTTTAATTATAAATAATGAAATATATAAATTAAAAAAAAAAGAAAAAAATAGAACAAATATTCTCTAGGAATAAACAGCTAACCTCTTCAGCCATTTCTTTGAAAACATGGAAAGGGACAATCCATTCGGGGCAGTCAACTGCATCCTGCAGAATAAAAATACAATCATAGAGAGAAGAAATTATATTAAGTATTCATATAGGGATCTATCAATTATTTTCACTTGGTACAAACACAAATTTTGCTTCCACCTTTTTGTGCCTTTATGATAAGGGTTAGCTAATAATCTTTTATTATTCTTCGTATTATAATTATATTTTTGTAATATATTGACAAAGGAAAAAAAGCTCAACTCAATATGAATAGTAGTTGCAAACCAAGAAGATATGTGCAACATAAAAATGAAGTTTGGAACAATAAAATAATGAGAGCATGTACATGTGAGCCCATAACAGATGAAAACCATATCAACAAACCTGCAAATGGAACTTGTATTTGATGCCAAAAGGGTTTGAAGATCCGAATTTCTGCATGGCAACTCTGATTAGTTATTGAACACGTGACGATGAAACTCATATAAATTCCACTTGAGAAATTACATAAAAATAACACCTTTTCTGAGAATTCATCATTGAACTCTATTGAATACACACTGTTACCAAAGCTTAGCCCTTTAGCTGCACAATCCATGAAAAGTAAAAACTGAACCGTCAAATAATAGTTCTCTTGCCCGTAAAAAAAGTTCAGGTAAGAACATAAATATAAAGGCAGACCGTAAAAATTTAAGACCTTCTCTAAGCTTTTTTATTATAACATTAGCGTCTGGCATTGTTCCAATGAAGATGCCTCCAGGTCTAAGTAAAGCTGATACATTGGCCAAGGCGCGTCGTGCACGTGCTTCGGTTGACCATGAGTAATGCATGGCAAACTACAAAAACAAATCTTCGTAAAACATACAGAAATTTCATCCCCATAAAATTAACCTAGAATCAAAAAGTTTTGAGACCTAGTGAGTTATAAGATTTGAAATGGTTAAATTGGTAGCATCAGTTTGCAGGATTAACCAACCTGGCAGCTAATAAGATCAAAAGGCATATCATCTGCTAACACTTTATCTAACTGAACCTGGAACTCAAAAATAAGATAAATGAAGGAAATCGTTTATTCTTTTTCTTGTTATTTCCCATCAAACACAAATGGGAAGAATGTATGGAAATTCCATAAAGGAGTTAAAATGAAGTGGAATTTTTAATGATGTACCTCAAAACAATCTCCACAAATAAGTCTAGCTGGAAAGGAGAACTTCTTTCGCCGTTGATGATGGTCCGCATCACCATTATAGCGCGTACGGCAATCCTCAATCTACAAATAATCATTTGAAGCATTATTAAGCCATCGTTTGGATGGGTTGAAAAAGAGAGGAAAGAAAAGTAGGGGTGAGAAAACACAACTCCCTAGTTATTTTCTCATGTTTGTTTGAAATAGAAAATGGAGAGGGAGGGAAAAGGTAGTGAAGGGAAGCCAAAAAATCTTAGTTCAATATTCCAATTGACATGAAAATTTGGGTGGACATGAACCACAACTTGAACATGCGATTAAAACCCGCACTTACGGAGCCTTCAGCAATGTCAATGCCAACATAATATGAAATCCTTGCTTTGTCCCACTTAATAAGATCGCCACCCTGGTTAGTTTAAAATAAGAAAAATAAGGCTGTTAACAAATGGCAGACTAATATATGAAGTACACACAATGCCATATTAAAACTGTAAACGTTTTGAAATGCCGGGCCCAATAATACCTTTCCGCAAGCAAGATCAAGAACTACATCCCCTCTTTTGGTGTAAAGTTGAATCAATACGCTTTTGATCTGGTTAAAATGAAATATTCAAAAGAATTGGATATAAGGAATCAAATCTGCTATGTGAAAAAACTAACCTCACCACCTATGTGCAAGAGATATAAATTCTTACCCAGTTGTTAAGCTTCTTTAAATGGATAATGGGACTTGCTTCTCGCTCTTCTAGTGTTTGGTTGCTCCTTGCACTATAATGATCAGCAACTTTCCTCGCAAAGTTTTTTGTACTCTCATCCTCCAAAAACTGAGGGTCGCCTAAACACAAAAGAGCCATAGAGCCCCAATAACTTCGTACCAAGTTACTAATGTAGCAAATATAATGCAAAAAACATAATGCCCATTGTAGGGGATACCAAAACAGAGAAGTCTTGATCAATAATATACTCCTAAGCTCAAACAATACCAACTTGAATGCAGAAAAAGTAGGATGCTTCTAACCAAGTATCCCCTCAAGTACTTTTTTCAAAATCATAAGAAAAAGGTCCAAAGATTTTACATCAAAGAATGCAAATTGTAGATCAAAACCATACTACAAAGGCTGCCAATTTAGATTTGTAAACAAAACCATCCCAGATTTGTTCCAATTCATCATAAAGAATTTAGGTCAAGCAAGTAGAATTTTTCAAGTTCCCAAGTTGATAAACTGATCTCGAACTTTCGTAGTAAGAACTTGAAAATACCTGGTGGGTTGTATTTCAATCTGGACGAAGGAGGTCCAATAGAGCTACACGGAGGCGATTCCGAGTAACTGCGCTTCATGTCTAATGAATCCAGGTAACCGTTTCAAAGCTTGCGCCTTTTCTCTTAACCACGCTTAATCCCTAGCTCTGACGGCAATTGCCGCTGTCCGCAGAGGGGGCGCCGCCGATGCCGCGGACAAGAATTCCGGCTAGAGTCCTTATCTATCAATTCCTCTTCCTCTTCGGTCCGATTTAACTCGTCGCTGACGGGTCGTTCAGATTGATATCCTGATTCGCGATACCTTTCACCTTTTCCGGTTTAGAGTTCTTCCACATCAAGGCGGCGATTTACCACAAATACGGAGGACAAACTATCCCTTTTATGCGGGGTGATAAAATTATTCCTCTTTCCAAACTACTCCGAAATCCGAATGTGTTATGTGTATGCGAGAATAGAAAACTTAGTGGCTTGCAAAATAGAATCTGATTCCATTATCCGAACTGAATTATCCGAAATTAAAATCAAAATGATCCGAAAAATGAAGATCCAATCTATAATCGAAAATTCAAAATGATTCGAACTAAAACCGAACTAAATAAATCATATCCGATTTAAATCTGAAACCAATTAGATCCGAAAGCGATCATATTCGAATCGATTAAACCTGAAATCGATTAGATCTGAAACCGATAATACCCGAAATCGATTAAATCTAAAACGATTTGAACTAAACTTATAAAATCTGAAACGGTATTTGCCTTTCAATTAGCATAATATATTTTTAAATTTTTACTTTTATTTTATCATATGAGCTAATTACATTACTTGCTCACTCACTCATCAAATGGATTACTATCTTAAAAAAACTACAAAATCTTGTGCCTTAAATTTATTATAGTTAAAATTTGAACAAAAGTTATACATACTCCGTACGTCTCTAAATGATTTACATATTTTTTTATTCAAAAATTACAAAAATTTTTGTTTATTTGTTTAATTTCAGTGATTATTTGATGAAATAAAAAAAGAAACATGAATAATTAAATTTTAATTAGAATATAATATATATCCAAAATATATTCGATCGAAGTATATCTAAACTGAAATATATCGAAAACCAAAATATATTCGAGCTGAACTAGATCTGAAATAGAAATATATCTAATCCAAATTCAATCCGAATTAGAATCTATCGGAACTGATTTATATCCAAATCGTATCTAAACCAACTCGAAACCGAAAAATATATAGCACCGAATCAAATTCGAATTGAAATTAAACTGATCCAAAACGAACCGATTATAACATACATCTAAAAGACATTCGAACCCAAAAAATTTACACAACACTAGATTGACAAGCAAGAAGAGATGGAGGTAATGATAACCCCCCCACTCTTACACCCTTTGGTCCAAGGCACTTAACTCTAACAATTTCATTTAAACTTTAAACTAACCTTTACATGTTAGGGTAATAGGGTAAACAACAACCCAGTAAAATCTCTGTGTATTCAAATTTACTTTCAGTCGAAAGTAGAGAGACTATTTTCAAAGAGACCCCTAACTCAAGCACCACAAATTAAGTACAAGTACACATATCATCATCGAAAGTGTTCAATTTCAAGTACAAGTACAAAAGAGCACATTATTTGTTCTGTAACCAACTAAAATCTTCAAAGGAATTGCAAAACTAAAACCAAAAATGCTACCAAACTATGGGTGTTATTACTAGTCTATAGACTATATCTATAATGATAATAATAAGTCAATAAGCTCAAACAAGAAAGTCTAATTAGGGACATACTTTAACTAAGCCTTCTAAAAAGGGGAACTTATTGTATCAAACATGCCCCAAAAAACCAAAAGCTACTTCTTGAGTTGTTTGTTGAGCTTTGCCGAGACTTGCTCGTCCGTCAGCGGCAAATAGTATATCCGAGGGGTGGCCTTCGTCTTCCTGAACAGCTCGTCGAGTGTGGGCAAGGGCGGTTCCGCTTTGTCAGCAACAGGTGGGGCCCGCTCTTTCACTGTAGCAGGTCGGCGGTCATAAGCAGGCAGTTGTCGGGACAGGGGGTGGGGCCGCTCCCCTTGTTCCCAGGGAGCCATGCCTTTCTGCTGCCCGGCGGGCGGCTGCGAAGAAGTGTTGGCCGCCCGAGGGGCAGGGGTGGGCCCCGCACTGGCGCCGGTTGCTGGAGGGGCAGCTGGCTTGGGAGGGGCTGTTGCCTCTATTTTTGACTTCACGTCCTGTGGGGTCACAAAATCGGCAAGCAGGCAGCGGCCTCCATTTGTGGGCCACTGCAGATTGTACACTGCCTTTCGAGTCTCTATAGCTTCCTCCACAGATGAAAACTGTACCAAAACATTCATCCATCACAACCCCAATGATCATGTGATTGCACAGAAAAATATAACTCCGTATGAAAATTAAATTTACAACCATGACATCAAAAGTGTACACCAAGGTGTACCCCAAAGTAATGCACTGACATTGTAATGATTCACGCGGGCAGAAATTCTTAGTTCACTTCAATAAATTTGCACTGATATTTTTTGTCAATGTAATTCATCACACTAGCACAAAATGTCGGTGCATACCTTTGGGTATATAAAAGGGTACAAATTTTGGTGTACAAATAGCTTAATCCTTAAACTTACCGTGACATAGCAATGGGTCTTGATATGGTCCATCCAGAAACTGCAAACCTTCCCAGTTTTTCCAAGGAGCTCTTGCACAGCTTTCAGTGTGAACGGCCTCACAAAGTTATCAATTCTGAGAGAATCGGTAGGTGTTCTTGACGATTCTAGAACTGGTTTACACAACCGAAGAGCAAATAATTTATTTATTAAGAGAATACATTTTAAAAATTGGCAAGGTTATAGTGACACTCATTTTAGGGCAGCGTCATATTATGACACTGGTCCAATTGAAAGCCATACACTTGCTTGTTCGAAAATTTGATGGTTCATACCCCCCTAACCACTGATGAAACCCTTACCTCAGCCCGACTCAAACCCGTCCGAGTCAATTGACCCACAAAAATTAGTAGATTTTAAGGTCAAAAAATTTGACCTAAGAGTCAACTAGTTTTGGGGGGGTTCAGTTGATGGGGGCGAGATGTGGGTTTGGTTCGGGCCAAGGTGGGGGGGGGGGATTCACTTNAACCATCTATTTTTTGAACGAGACACCGTAGGGCCCTCAATTGGACTGGTGTGCTATTATTATCACACCCAAAATGGGTGTAAGCATAACCCCACCGTTAAAAATTAAAACTCATGACATAGAAAATAATACACACACACACTCACCAATGCGCTCCTTTGGAGCATCTGTGTCGATCATAGAGTCGCTGCCAGTGAACTTTGGCACTGAGATTTGCTTTGGTGTGAGGAGCAAGACACTAGAGGTTTTTGGTTCAGATGTCTTTAAAGATTCATAGTTCCATTTACGCTGCCTTTTGGCAGGTTCCTTGTTCTCTGGTGCCACTGCATCTGACAAATGAAACAATAACACCATAACATGCACATTATTGATGTTTGATTGCCTTGACATAAGATGATACTATGTGAATCTGCAACCTCTGTCTAGAGTCACGCTTGATCAATGCACCTTTTTCTTTTTCATAAAGTATTACTGTAATAAATTAATTACTACCAAAAATTTATTTTTGGTTTAGCAAAAGTTATCATATGTTGGTATGTTACATGAAAAATTAGCTTTGGTTGATCCAACCAACTTCTTTTTGAGACAGAACAATGTTAAACAATTTGTGGGATAAGGGAGTACATAATATTCTGCATAATTTTGCCCAAATTTACGACACAGTACCCAAAAGGCAGCATTCAATAACTTTCATTTTTGATACTGTTTTAAGAACGGTATTTTTAGAAAAGAACGTTTTTTTACATATTACCACATGACATTTCTATAAACTACATGAGACACTGCATTGGACGGTTGCATTAGTTATCCATCTAACCCACTTTTACCTTCATTCTTTTCCTTTCAACTGTCCCAAAATTTTCAATCCCTTGTCTTCTTCCTTTTTAAGAAAGGATTCTTTGGTTGATATTGATTCTCTTCTAAACAAATATTAACCACACCATTACTATATTAAAAACCGTATAAAGTCAAACTCTGATATTAAAAAGGAGAAGGTGTAAGTATAACAATATGGAAGATTGTTTTATTACCATTTACCACATGAAAAGTTCACTGAGTTGGTTCATGAGTACAACAACAACCCAGTCGTATCCCAGAAAAGTAGGGTCTCGGGACGGTGTGTGTACGCAGACCTTACCCCTACTCAGAAGTAGAGAGGCTGTTTCCAAAGAGACCCTCGGCTCAACATCGTGAAGTTGCATTGATTGACTAACTGCTACTTCATTAATTAAAGAAGCAACATTTAGAGATCCATTTTGCTTTATTCCATCACACCCCAAAGCCAAAAAATAGTGCATTTTTTGCTCCATCGAAGATGATGGTAAAAAGAGTTGGTTCATGAGTAATTGGCTATTTATTTCCATAAACCCTTGATTTGGCGTACTAATTATTCAAAGCTTAAACATTGTCAATATTGACTCAGTCCAATGAAAATAAAGTAAAACATAGTAAAATGACCAAGCTACCCTCCCTCACATATTCATTTCAATTAATAGTTATGTATAATACCTGAAAATCAAGAGACATGTTTGTCAAATTTATATCAGAAAATAATTTTTACCTTAATTCCGTGTTTTTTCCTTAATGGGGAGTTAGTCAAGAACAGAGGGATGAACTTTCATTTTTTTTGAATGTGTCGCAGAAAATGTTGATCAGGCATGAAAACTTGAAGGTAGGAAATGCATACACACCTTGAAATTTTCTCTTATCAGGTAGATTGAGATTTTTATCCCCATCTTCAAGGTAAACTTCACATGCAGCAGAATGGATGTCAGACAACTCTGTAGCTTTAGAACCACCTTCCAATTCAACTCTGGGTTCCTTGGTAAGTGGTTCTTCTTTGTTTTTACCCAGCACTTCAAAGGAGATGTGCTCAGAAGCCTCAGAATCAATATTCTTTGAATCTGCTATGTCCTCGTCCATGGAATCATCTGCAGATGACTGGTCGAGATTTATTTTCTCAAGATTCTCTCCTGCTACATCAGTAGCCTTGCCAAAACCAGAATCTGTAGATTCACCTTCAGCTTCAGCCAAAACATTATGCACATCGACATTAGAACCAATGATGAATGGGAATTGGTATGTACGATAACAAATAAAAATGACAATAGTAAACTGCCATACCTTGGAAATTGGTTTCCTGTGCAGAAACATCAACATCAATTTTTTCTTCTTCAGACGAGTCCTCTTTACCTGAAAACTTAGTTTCATTCAGATATTCATACTTTGAACATCAAAACTTTAATCTTCAGATGATTCCTTTTCTTAACCTGAAAACTTAGCTTCGTTCAAACTTTCAAATTTTGAACCCTCTTCCAACATCTCAATAATGTTTGAGTTGTTGTGATTCGTGTTATGCTCTATTAAAATCTACAAATATTGAAGAAAACATGAGGATTGTGGATAACATATCATACCTTGAAAATTGGTATCCATTTTAGAAGAATCAATATCAGCTTTTTCCTCAGCAGATGAATCCTTATCTTCACATGGAACCTTGTCAACAAATAAATTTTCATCTTTTTGCATACCATCCATAAGTTCAGTACTATTGATACTCATATCATCGGTGGTATGTTCTATCATGGAAACATCTACAAAGGATTGGATGATACATTAGGAGGAATTTAGAATATCAAACACAATAAGAGAATAAAGGAGAAAACATGAGGACAATCATTATACCATGAAAACTGGCTTCCTTGGTGGAGGAGTCAATGTTGGTTTCTTCTTCCAATGATTCCTTGTCTTTGCATGGAAACTTATCTTCATTTGAATTTGCATCCTTTGATAACCCTCCCAGCCTCTCAGTGTTATTTGAAGTGTTATGATCCATGTTACGCTCTAAAGCAGAAACATCTGCCAAGCATTTGAGAAAACATGAGGATAGAAAACAAGAGTGCATTGAAGGAATGATGTATCCTTTGTTAAATTGGACCTAACTTGCCACAATAGAATCTACAAGAAGTGAGGTTTGCCTCACAAGTCACAACATGACACTTATATACTACGGTCAAACAATAAAAAAACAAATGTAGTATACTCAACAAAAACAGGGAAATAGCAATCATACCTTTAAAATCAGTTTCCTTGGCAGATACACCCACATCAACTTTTTCTTCAGGTGATTCTTTCTCTTTACATGAAAAGTCAGCTCCATTCACATTTCCATCTTTTGGAAGCCCTTCCAGCAGCTCATTACTATTTGAACTCTTATTATGTTCTATAATGGGAACATCTACTACTAAAGACTGGTCCGCATTTTCATTTGTCATGCTATAGTTCACATATGAGGACTTGTCGTCGTCAGTTCCTCCAACAAGACCATCACTCTTGCTTGGCATTTTATCATCCATAGGATGATCAACACCTGGGAGGTCTTTGCTGGATGATGGAAGAACCATCTCGGACCTAACAATTTCTTGTTCTAATTTGACATTATCAGGATTCAAATCATCATTAAGTTGGTTTGTTACGCAAATGGGCAAAGTATCAGTATGAATTGAGTCAGATTTTACTTCAGACCCTAAACTAGGGATAACCTCATGTACCTGCGTGGTGCTTGGGTGGGACAAATCGGGTTCAGCATCCATCTTCGTAAGTTTTTTAAATCCCTCCTCTGGATCACTTTTGTTGCCCAAAGTGATTTCCCCAGACGTGTCAGGCACCACATTACAATTCTCCAAAACTTTGAAATCACTTGTCTCTTCAGCAGAAATTATTTTTACTTCCACATCATGTTGGGACTTCACGACCTCATCCTCCCCAACTGTGTCTTTTGGGGCCCTCTCAGTTGAAGCAATCCTATCGGAATCGGACATTCCATTGTTTGCATCAACTGATGGAATAATTTCTGAAGGGGTATCGAAATCTTTTCTTTCCCCATCCATTGCAAAATGAACAGCACTTCCAGTTGGAGCAACGTCTATACATTTTGCAGAGTCTATTCCTTTGGGGCAATCACTAGTGTCATCGTTAGCCACGGTATTTTCTGCTTCACAAGATTCACCGGTGATGTGCTTCTGCGTGGTGTCATCTTTAGCCACCGTAGCTTCTGCTTCACAAAATTCACTAGTGATGTGCTTATGTGCATCATCAACTATTTGAACACCATCAGAAGACATAGGTTTACTTTCACTCTCAGAGCCCTCCTTCTCTTCCATCTCACGCGCTTCCATTTCCTTCTGGATTGCTTCATCCAATCTATTCACCAATGCTTCCTTCAATCCCTTAACAGGTAAGTTCCGCTTCTTAAGCTCTTCCCTCAGCTGGGCTACCTTCCACTTGTTAATGGGACTGTTATCAAGCACAGGATACTCTTTCGGCATGTTTCCAATATCAATAAAACAAATGCACCCCGCTGCAATTGAGTTACATAGAAAACAGAAAACTTTAAATAGACATATCAAAAAGGTCAAAACTTTATTTTGTTGAGTTCAATACTCTGCATTACTTAGGTCATTCTTCCTTTTGGTTACCAATGACAAATGGGTCATGGAAAATTTATCTGTCCCAAGGTCAATCTTGGCTTACAAGCATTGAATCGCAGAGTATATCACATTATGCAAAAAGCAAAGGGATATAAATTTAGATAACAATACATGAATTCCTATGCTCTCCCACTTAGGGTGAAAGTGGAAACACGATGAAAATTGAATGGCAAAAAATTAACTTCAAGCTGCTAAATACAGTTAGAAAGTACTCCGTATATGGCAATATGGCATCAAACAGAAACATAAAGAAACTAGAGATAGTTACCAGAGAATTAGACAATGAAGAATCTTCTTCGTTCAAATAAGACGAACGAGCCCTAGCTCCAATCAAGAAAAGAGGAAAACCCTAATTCCGAAACACCACACAACAATTATTAGAACAAAAAAGCAATCAAATTAACGAAATCTAAATTACTCCCATTCAATTAACATTCCCTGCAAAAAAAGGATGAAGAGATTTCTTTGAAACGCGGGGAAAAGGCGAACAGCAAACTAAAGAAAATTGTTTTCGTTTTCTTTTCTGGAAAAGGGAGAAGAAGACCGAAATTGCGAGATTAAAACGATAAATGTAAATTTAGAAGACCAATTCTAAGGAGAATAATTGTAAAAATTGGATTCGAAAGGTCTAGGGTTTGCATATGGCGCGATTTTCTCTTCGTGGTCGTTTTTTTATTTATCGTCTACATCCACTAGATAGGAACGCAGAGATATAAATGATGAAAACTGGAAAGGCAGAGATCGCATTCAAAGACTCTGTGTTCGGGTCGACCCGGAATTAAATACCTCATTTTTAAAATTTTGTTTGGAATATCAAAATTTAATACGAGTATAAATTTTATTTAATTAAATGTCAAAAATAATTGGCTAAAAGATACGGAGTACAAATTTAAACAAATGATCTAGAACAAAGGTTGTGATATTTATATTGACACTCTTAAATAAAAAATACGGAATATCATTGAATAATATTTTAAAAGTGTTGAAGGTAGACACAAAAACTAAAGTAAAACAGAGGTCTTACATGGAGTAAAAAGTATTCTAAAATGATGAAAAATGGAACTCTATTCTAAGACAAATAGAGTACAAAATACTTTGTGAATATCTATTAAATGAGATCGTAAAAATGAGCTGAAACATATTTAATTTAGTCTTTTTTTTTTAAATATGAGGTATATAGATTTCAAAAACTAAAAAAAATCTCCTCATTATGAAAACAATTTAAAATTTTAAACTAAAAAATACTCCGTATTTATGAAGTCAAGCAATCATATCTTGCCAATTTAAATTTCTCTGACAACATGTAAATTAAGTTTGAACAAAAGGGTTCAATATTTAGTTTGATTGTCTTTCATAGTGGAATTAGTTTCATTTGTATGTAATTATTGTTAGCACGAGGGGAAATTACTAAGAAGCTTTTAGTTGTCTTTCTATTCTATACAAATCTTTGACAAAATACTTAGACTAACTTATTCAATAAAAATAGAATTAAAAATAGCTACTCTATAACATGTCTCACATTGATTTTTACATTGTTTTTAAATTGGGATGTCAATATATTTTAAATTTAGAACGAGTGAAATTTCTCTCACCATCCTCAATTAACTCACAAACGTACTTTAGATAAGTTACGGAGTATTATTTAACCTGGACCATTACACATGAACTTAACTTTGTTTACATGCAACTAATCCAACCAAAATTTCGATCTTACTACTGGAGATTGACTTGTAAACATCTAGGTAGAAGACAATTGATGTCTTGTCAAGAATCAAACTTTGCCAAAATATATAGCCTTATGGAATTATCTTGTACTCTAACAAGATCAATGACAACTACATAAACTTGAGCATGTTCAACTGATTAGAAGAAATAACTTCTCAAAAAAATTATTCGATAAAAAAAGATATTATCCAATGATGTTTGTTTTCATATGGAGTTCGGGGACGATGCATTATGAAAAGGCCCCCAAAGCTTTCATCTCAAACAAAGCCTCTATACATACACCCAAGTAAATATGCAAATGATCCCTTGAACTCATTATAGACTCTTTCAACAGCTTCAAAGTGCACATATATATATTTATGTATATATTGATTGTAATATTCAACGGCTCTCAAAAAGCTCATTTCAGGACCTTTTGTAGTTCAATGACCAATTCCTCTCTGGATGATGGCTCCATCTGCAGTTAAAATCCAAAATTTCAATTCTGTCAGCTTCAAAGATCTCAAAAATGGTGCTAATGTCAAAGAATTACAGAGAAGATGAAGAAGATGATGAAGAAGAAAGAAAGAAAGATTACCTTCTGAAGAAGTGCAGCGAGACCTTGAGGTAAAGCGCGTGCATCTAACGCAGAATCGCCAATTTTGGACAAGTGGGCCATGACTTTCTGGGCCCGGAGTTCCTGCAACTTCTCTTCGTAGTTTCCGGCGTCCCGCTTCCAGACATAGAAGGCCTCGTCGTCCTCCCACGCCGGCGCCGCGGCGGCGACGGTGGAAGATGATTCTAAGAACCACTTCTTCACCATATCCATGGCGGACTGGTCGGAAAGCTGGTACCCGGCGGCGTCCTTCACGGCCTTGGCCAACGACTCTTCCTCGATTCTTCTGAGCAGTCTCTTGTAGAAGAAGAAACGGGAGCTCTTCCAATCCACTACCTCCCTGATCACCCCTTTCGCCGCCATTCTCAGCGACGTGTCGTGCAACTCCGCGAATTTCGTGGCGATCTGGATGTAGATCGGCAGGAGCTGCTTCTCCCGGGATCTGATCTTCTGGTGCAGCCCCTGTGCCGCGGCGGAATCGTTGCCGTCCGTCGCTTCCGCGTGCTTTCTTCTCAGATCTATGAGTTTCTGGTCGAGTCTACCCATGCACTCCAGTAGATCTCTGGTTCTGAACTTGATCTCGATCATTCCCTGCGGCTCTAGAACGTTTCCCTTGGCGGTTGTTTCCGCGTACATTTCGATTCGATCGGAGTTGATTTTACTGTCCACGACCACCCACGCGCCGCCTCGGAGCTCCCCCATCATCGGAATATACACAAAAACGGGCTGCTTGTACGTCCTCAGATTCTCGACGATGGTGGACCCGGCTTGAAGGATCCCCTCGAAGAGATCTCTCTGTCCGCCGGAAAAGCCCCTCCAGTTGGCGAGGATGAAAAGCGGCAGCTCTTCTCGGTTGAAATCCATCAGCGCTTGCGCGGTTTTGGTCGCCGAGTCGGGGAACCAGACTTGACCCGCCTGAGGGACGACGCGTTCGTGAGAATCGGGCTGACCCGGGTCAGCCGGAATCACCTGCATCATCGTCTGCGTCTCGACGGCGACAATCCCCACCGGAATCCCTCCCAGCTTCGCCCGTCCGGTAACAACAGTTCTCGCCCACCCCTCCAGCGTCTCGACGAAGCTATCTTTGTCAAACATCCCTCCCAGCCATCTCCCGCTTGCCGCATCATTGACCCCACAAATTGCCGCTCGCGGGTCGCACGTGGTCTCCGGGAAATACCTAACGGACCTCTCCGGCGGATCCACGGCGGCAGAAACAGGGAGCGGCCCGCCGGAATAAGCCGGAACAAAGCTCAACCACTTCACGATCGCCGCCACACCTTCCAGATCATCGGAGACAGTCAGATGAACTACTCCATTGGTCGCCATGATCTTTGGTCCCCCGAGCTGCATGTGGGAACTGTAGACTTCCCGGCCGAGGAGTTTGTTCAGAGCAGAGAAACCGGTGAGAATGATGGGTTGGTCAAGCCTCTGTATACACCGCATGCCAAGCCGGGCAAGGTAGGCTCCGATTCCCACCGTTCTTCCGGTGACATACGTCAGCGTGAAAGTTTCATGGTACGCCCTGGAATAAGCACTGGCAATGGCCCCACTCCCACTCAGATTCTCAACCCCCAATCCGTCCTCTTTCCCAATGATTGTATCTATCACATATCTGATCTCTCCATCTGATGTCTTCAGTTCATGTGAAATGACAGATGACCCAATGCGCGCGTGGTCCTCGGGGGTCAAATACAGGTATTGGACGCCGCCGCGCTCAGGGGTAGTTTCGTCAGACCACCCAACTTTAAAGCAAGATTTCACTTCCTCTGCCGCCCCAATTCTTGCGCCGGAATTGGCCGCCAGGTAAATGAGGGGCAGTTTCCGGTCGCAGGCCAGATCAGTCGCGGCTTGGAAAAACGCGTCTTCTCTGGGGCCAAAAGATCCATTTTTGAAGGTGACATCATTTGCAACAATGACAATTTTCCTTCCAGAAGGGAACTCTGGGGTAGCCATTTCAAGAATCCAGGCCACCATGCCAACATCATTGAGGCCAGGGGTGCGCTCCACAGGAACAAGAGGGGTACCCCAAGAACCATTCTTGTCTTCAAAAGCCAGCTCTGTGACTTTAACTAAGGGCTTTTCTTTGGTCTTGTCTATTCCTCCTTGGGCAGCAGCTGCAGCCCAAGACTTCTCCAGTGCCACTTCAAAAGCCTGGAAAGGATAAAACTTTCATATCAGTAACTGTTATGACCAAACCCCAGTGAAAAAATATATGCAGAATTTACCCTATGAATTTGGCACATGATAAAGAAATCTTAAGGTTGTTTGCTAAGATTTACCAGGGGAAAATCATAGCAGTAAGTTGTGCTGCTTTTGCGCGCAAGGAGCCGTTTCTGATCAAGAACACCAAGAGGTGGATAATATGCAGTAACAGGGACGCCATGCAGAGGACCAACCCCCCTTGTCGAGTGATACACTACTCTGTGTTTGTTTGTATCTTCAACCTCACGATATATCTATGCGAAATTAATTAATACAAATTTATAATCAGAATCCATATCTGGTTTTAATTTCATCACGAGCATTAGAGCATATAAAAATGATAAATGACATACATTGACAATGCAGGTGTGACCGGTCACATTGACAACCACAACCCTCCAAACACCATTGGCTTCTCCAGCAGATGATATCCAAAGCTTCACTTCCCACTCAAAAACACCCAAACGGTGCATTCTCACCCCAACAGACCCATTGATTTCGTTCGCCATTTCATCTAAGATCTGTCCTACAACAGCTTCTTCATTACCATCATACCCATCAGCTCTCCTGCAAAAAGCAAAATAATCATCAAGGACATAACAGTCTTTATGCTGAAAAAAAGTTTAACAAGTGAGATTCCATCATACTTGTTATATGGGAAAAGATCTTCGATTTGTTGCTCGCGTAAAATATAGAGGTACATATTTGCATGGTCAGATTTAGCAGTGGAATTATGGACATTAAGCTCGAGCTCTTCAAGGGCAGACGTCATAGACCTCAAAATGCTCTTAGAGGTGAATGACAATGACAGTGGGGGCTGATTCTTTTCACGGCTTAGCCCTTGAAACGCCGTTAAACAGTCATCTGATATGGGTTGCCTGACGAGTGTCCTGAGAAACATCCTCTGGATTGGTCTGGGCTTTTCTAGAACAGTGTACAGGTGCCACTGACGGTCCCTAGACTGTGCATACTTAATATTGTCATATCCCTTGAGCTTATCCTGTGTAGGAAATGGAAATAATGTGAAAACCAGTCTGTCCAAAAGAAAATGAAGAAGAAAAAGGAAAGGGTAAATTACAAACCAGTTCAAGGTAAATAGAGAGCGGAGGCTCAAGATGACGCAAGAGAGGCTCCTCCTGGAAGTACTGTTTCTCTTCGGACCAATGGAA